AGGCAAAATGTGGTTTAGGAGGTATAACTTTGAAATTCCACAGTAAATAAAAGTAATTTTACTATTGAATACAGGGGAAGGTCGGTCTAATATGTCTTATAAATACTTTAATGAGATTTGGGCTAATGGCTTACCTTATCCACACCTTACCAAATTTCTCCAATGTAATTTTTTATTTGGATCAACTGGTGGATTCCTGCCAGCCTGCCACTATGAAATGAGAACTATTGTACCAATTATGAAATGGATAACAAACAACTATTGAATGTAGCCTAGCGGTTAAGAGTGTTGGGTTAGTAACCCGAAAAGGCCGCTGGTTTGAATCCCCGAGACGACTAGGTAAGAAATCTGTCAATGTGCCCTTGAGTAATGTACTTACAGTTTTTTCCAACTGCTTACACACAAAATATTTTCATGTCACACGATTTTTGAAACCTCTCACTCAAAGTGCAAAACTACACACCAAATCTCCAAAACCATAAGCTATTTCTCAGCCTTTGACTCAGTTGTCAATTGCATAAAACACTTTTTTCAAAACACTACATACAATTCTCTACCTAAAACACAAAAATCTAACAGGAAGTGACTTGCTTTCCTTTTCCAAACACAACCAATCAAAATGCTACACTTATTCACCAGGATACGCACACACTCCTCACATGTGCAAACACTAATTGCTTAACTGATCACTAACCAATCACTGCTTTACTGTAGTATAGGACTGTTTTGATCAATGGATGCCAACAATGGACAGAGAGCAAGAGGAGTAGGAGGGAGAGGCAGGGGACAACAACGAGGACAAATTCAAAGACGAATAGTTGGAAGAGGAGGAGGAGGAGTAGGAGGAAGAGGAAGAGGAAGAGGAAGAGGACGAGGACGAGGGCAAAGAAGAGAAGGAAGGAGAGCCATCTCTGATGAGATTAGGGCAACACTTGTTGATCATGTGATCAACCACGGTTTGACCATGAGAGAGGCTGGACTGAGAGTCCAGCCCAACTTGAGTCGATTTACAGTGGCGTCCATAATTCGAACCTTCAGAAATGAGAACAGGTATGAAACTATCTAATGACTATTTTAGCATTACAGTAATGTACTGTAAAATACGTATGACTGCATAGTATTGCATAAACATTTGTAACTCTAAGCCATCCATTTACTGCACTGCATTGAATGAATGAGGTTGGTTATCATGCTGTACTACAACATTTTTGTGTACATTGTTTACAGTTCCTATGCTGAACACATACTGTGTTTGAATTTTGTACAGAGTGGAAAGGCAAATACATCATGGAGGACGAGGACGCTTGTTTACAGATGTACAAGAGACTGCAATTATAAATATGGTTTTGGCCAACAATGCAATTAGGATTTGAGAGATAAGAGAACATATCTTGAATAATGACACCATATTTAACAACATCAATGCTGTAAGCCTGTCGACCATACAACGCATCCTCCAATGGCACCAAGTGACGATGAAACAACTTTACAGGGTGCCATTTGAGAGAAACTCTGACAGAGTCAAGAATCTGCGACATGACTTTGTAGAGGTATGTATGCAACACTACTTCCAGTACTTCAGACATACCATATTTACTCATCTGTATATCCTTTTGTCTGTTACAGAGAGTATTGGAGATGGATGCCCATGTAAATGTATTTATGTGGATGAGGTTGGCTTCAACCTCACCAAAACCAGGTGCCGCGGAAGAAATGTAATAGGACAGAGGCCAATTACCAATGTCCCTGGACAGTGTGGGGGTAATATAACTATGTGTGCTGCCATCACTCAAAACGGGGTCCTCCATCACAATGCCACACTGGGTCCGTACAACACCGGCCATATGCTCACTTTTCTGGATGCAATTTACACAATGCTTGTCCCTGATCCAGATCAGGAGCCTGCTAGATTTGTGGTTACATGGGACAATGTTAGTTTTCACCGGGCTGTTCTGGTCCAAAACTGGTTTGCCACCCATCCACAATTTGTAGTTTTGTACCTACCCCCATATTCACCTTTTCTAAATCCCATAGAGGAATTCTTCTCAGCCTGGCGCTGGAAAGTGTATGATTGCCAACCCTATGCCCGCATGCCGCTTCTCCAGGCAATGGAGGACGCATGTGGGGACATAGAGGTTGCCTCTGTCCAAGGTTGGATACGCCATGCTAGGAGATACTTCCCTCGATGTTTGGCAAGAGAAAACTTCATTCTGACATGTGTTTATGGCATTTTGAATGCAGTGTTACATTTTGAAGGAGATGTGAGGCATTTTGCATTTTGTGTGTGCAGTTTTGGGAATTGTGTGTAGAGTTTTGAAAAAAGGAGACATCGTTTTGAAAACGTGTGTAAGCAGTTGGAAAAAACTGTAATGTGAATTCAACGTGAAATCAACAAAAAATGTCACTATGTCATTGGATTTAGGTTAAAAGTTGGGTGAAAAAATAAAAGAAGTTGCCTTACGTTGATAACTTTTTGCAAATCCAATCAGTTTCCCACATTGATTCAACGTCATCAGATTGAATTCTTTGGTTGAAAATACGTGGGAACAACGTTGATGCAAACAGTTTTTGCCCAGTGGGAGATGCTTGATAGGCTTCCCTTATTATGGACTGACACACTGGAAAACATACAGAGTCGCATTCACTAGGCATGAAACGGAAGAAAACTGTTTGAAACTGGGAGGTACTATCTGAGCTTGTCCAATAAGAAGCGCTTGTTTTGCTACAGTGTGCCCTAATGAATATGACCCAGGTTTGCTTTATCTTCTCTTTAGCTCAGTGTAGCCTAGCCTGATGCATTAGCCTGGCATTGCCACAATCCCATTAGGGAGCTTGATATACAAGTCTTCCATCTACAAATCTAGCATGGCCGAGAGCCTCTTAGCTTCACCTGGGGAGACATCCAGTCCAGGAAAAACAACATTGAGACTGATTAAGGAGTAAGGACAGACATGGAGCTCAATCTGGCCATGGCCTTATAAGTGCATCTCAGTTCAAAGTGTTTAAACCTACATTACAGTTTTGACGTGGATCACGACATGTATGTGCAATTTACAGTCAAATCTGTGTAAGAATGTTTTGTATAGCATATGAGGTTCCTAGCTTGGGTAGCTAACCTACCTGAATGTTTCAGCATTCAGTCACATTAGCTGTGTTATTGTCTTTGCCAACTAATCTGGAATCAGCGTCTCAACAGTTGGAGTCAGAATCTCAACAGCTGGAATCAGTGTCTCAACAGTTGGAGTCAGTAACTCAACAGTTGGAATCAGTGTCTCAACAGTTGGAATCAGTGTTTCAACAGTTGGAGTCAGTGTCTCAACAGTTGGAATCAGTGTCTCAACAGTTGGAGTCAGAATCTCAACAGCTGGAATCAGTGTCTCAACAGTTGGAGTCAGTATCTCAACAGTTGGAATCAGTGTCTCAGCATTTGGAATCAGTGTTTCAACAGTTGGAGTCAGTGTCTCAACAGTTGGAATCAGTGTCTCAACAGTTGGAGTCAGTGTCTCAACAGTTGGAATCAGTGTCTCAACAGTTGGAGTCAGTGTCTCAACAGTTGGAGTCAGTGTCTCAACAGTTGGAGTCAGTGTCTCAACAGTTGTTGTCAGTGTCTCAACAGTTGGAGTCAGTGTCTCAACAGTTGGAGTCATTGTTTCAACAGTTGTTGTGAGTGTCACAACAGTTGGAGTCAGTATCTCAACAATCTCAACAGTTGGTATTGGTGATAACCATCTAGCTTTTCTTTGGGCTTGTTGATGAATTGATGAACAGACTGATTGGATGGTGGCTCTTAGGGTAAGATGAGAGACACATGCTTTTTGCTCCTACAGTAATTGATGTGTTGCATTTCTCTGTTATTATACCAGAAAACAAATGGTGCTTGACGTTTGAACTTCAAATGTGTGTGTGACCACTGGATATAAATGACTATCAACCTTGTTGTGCTATGGATGGCCTAGGTTGTATTCATTAGGGCACACTGTAGTTGACGTAGTAAAACGTTTTACAACAGAAAATGAAAACGAGCGTTTCTTAGTGGACAAGTTCAGGCTGTCCCTCCCTGTTTCAATCTGTTTTGTTCCATTTGGTGCCTAATGAAAATGACCCAGGCTAGTTGTAAAAGGCCTGGCACTCACTCAACTAATTGACTTCTCTGTTATGTTAAGATGTTCTGTTCTAAGAAGATTTGCGGGCATCAAGCTGGGAACCCCTTTAAGGACAATTGTTTTCTAAGCTCAGGTTCATCTAATGTAAGAGTGTTTTGATGTGAAATGCTTACATGGCAGTAATGGATGTCCTCTGGCATAATCCATGGACCATTGGTTATGGACGATTCCTTCATAGTGATTGGTTGATCAGCAGCTCCATGGTTCCACAGTGAAAGACAGTTAATGAACCATAGGATGAGAACCACATATTGAGGGACTTTACCAGTCACATTAACGGGATCTGAGGGGCTTTGTGTTTTCTACTGATTCTATTTCTATGCTGTCAAGACGGTTTTGACCTCATAGAAATAGAATCACTAGAAAGAACGAGATGGGATGGTACAGGCTCATTAAATAGTGGTTTAAGTGTATCATGGGTACTAGATTTAGTTTTATTTCTTAGGGAATTTAATGAATTCCATTTCAAATTAATTAAAGAATTTGGGGAGTTGTATGATCATTTGAATTGAGGAGAGAGTGTCTAGGTAGGCATTATCTTGAATACTGTTCAGGACAAGCTGACATGAGGGTATATACAGGGTCTATCGGCTAGGGTACCATACACTTATCAATTCACGACCCTTGGGGCCTGGGGAAACCTGTCTGACATAATTCCTGTTCTAAAGCTGCTCCAAGTCACCTGACATGAACATTAGTGAAGCCTCTGTGTCCAACCTCTTATCGGTTCAAGTGCTTTCATGATCGAGTCCTTCCTAATTGTTGACACCAACTCGGGAGCCCCTCCTCTTTGTCAATGGCCTCTTTTAGTAAGCCTACTGCAGAGACTCAGAACCGATGAGTTTCAGCACCGAGGACGACGCTCCGCTGACCACCTGCCCGCCGAACATGGGACAGACGCACCAGAAGGAGCAGAACGACCCGGAGATCAACGTCAAGGCGCTCCAGGACATGTACAAAAAGTTTGTGACGGAGTGCCCGAGCGGTGTTTTATTTATCCACGAGTTCAAGCGTTTTTTTGGCATCGACCCAACTGGGGAAGTCTCGGAGTATGCGGAGAGCATGTTTCGAGCTTTCGACAAGAATGGGGTGAGATAGCCTATTGTATATGTTTCTGAGTTTTGCAGTTTTCTATATCCGTGCAAATGAACACGGGCACACCGTTTTTCTAAGTTTAGGGGGGGAAAAAACGATTGTTTTCAATTTGTCTTTTCAGGATAACACCATTGATTTCCTGGAGTTTGTGGCAGCCTTGAATCTTGTTTTCCGGGGGGACTTGGAGCACAAATTACGCTGGTCATTTAAAGTTTACGATAAGGACGGCAACGGCCACGTGGATAGGACGGAACTGCGAGCTATTATTGATGTAAGCACCCAGTGAAGGTCACCTGAGGATTCCACAAGGTCACTACGGTGTCTAGTGATTCAATTACCCAAGGGTCTTATGGGAGGGTCTTCTTCAGTGGTGATGAATAAGCCGAAGCAGACAATCAGTTAATGAGTTAAACATTTCTGGTCAGACAGCTAACTTTGAACAATTCTGATGACCCAATTCTGTGTGTGTGTGTGTGTGTGTGTGTGTGTGTAGGCTACTTTTGGCATGAGGTGTGGTTTAAATAACAAATCTAAAACAACTCTGACGTGTAAAAACGTTGTGTGAATGCACAACTGCAAACAGGTTCCATTGATATAAGTTAGGCCTATCTATAGTAAAGGTTTTTAGGCCCACTTACCTTGTCAATTATTTTGGCGCAAATTATTTGTAACCATTGACTGTATGTATTGGTCACACACTTTTTATTTATTCATTTCCCCCCTAGAGTATATATCACTTAAAGAAGACGTCCAAGAGAGAGCAGGAGGGTATGCAGCTGTCGGTGAATGAAGTGTGCGAGAGAATACTGAAGACCGTGGATGTGGACGGGGATGGTAGGTGCATGGAGCCACTTTACTCAGAGTCTTTATATTTACATTATGTGCAGTATTGGGGCGAATTCAGCAGAGCACAACGTTGTGGAACAATCAGATATAAATATGTTTTGAAATCCCTCATGTTTTCTTCTACATGTAGTCATGTCAGCTGTATTTATGACATGTTTATCTGCAACGTTCCACAACGTTTTCCTACTGAACGTGGCCCTGGTCTGCTTGTCCAGGTGTGCTGTAGGCCTGCACAGAAACTTCCCGTCCGTCTGTATGTCTGCCCGCTGTCTGCCTTGTTTTCTGCCCACCGTCTGCCTTGTTTTCTGAACAACCTTTCTGTTGTGATGGCCCATGCAGGTCACATCACCCTGGAGGAGTTCATTGAGGGGGCCCAGGGAGACCCATGGATCATGGACATGCTCCAACTGGACATGAACCCTTATGGCTGGGTGCTGGAACAGAGAAGGAAAAGTGCACACTTTTAAAATGACTGGAAAGACAAAAGCATCAATTTTTTTCTTCTTCAACGAAATTAGGTTCCAAGTCAATTGCACATAATAGGATCATTTTGGGGGGGATTCATTCGGATTGTTTAAGCTAGTTTTAATTATAAGGACAGGAATGGTTTTGTGTCGATCTCCTTTCACAAATTCCATGAGATGAACAGCTTGTGTTCATTCTGAGTTAACCTGCAGTGCAGTTTTCTTTATATGTAGGTGATTTAATTGGGGCCTTAAAGTGGAACTGACATTGTTTTAACTTCTTTGCAAATATGAAACAAACAGACAATCATAATATCAGTAAAACATATCAAATTCCCAGTTCATGCTACACAACCAACTTTATAAGAGGTTTTAAAAATAGGTTCTGTTTCACTCAAAATTCCATGACATACATTGTTGGGAGAATAGATGGATGCAGTTCAATGCATGATTAATATAATTCACCAATACATTTCTTGGTAGTCCAAAAAATATATCTATCAGGTTGTAAATCACAGCTGGCCTGGTACATTGTTTGCTGCCTCCACCTAATCGGGATGCACTGTTTCAGTTTCAATTACTCAATATTGTTTGACGAAACAGGACAAATGTAACTAAGGCTGGGAATGTCAATACAATCAAACTAGCAAGGGCAATGATGGTATTAACATATTTGCAGAAATCCATTCAGGTGTATTTTGTGGCTTTTGGCGAATGCTTTCTAATGATCTAAAAGTCGCTCTGTTGCTACTGCCGTAAACTCACAGTCCAGTTCAAAGTGAATGATGGCAGGGCCGTGTGGCAAATGGCTTATTTGCATAAAGGCCTACTGTAACTCTGTTTGGCTATGACGCACTTGTCTGCGTAGACTCTGGTCCTGGACGATGTTTTTATTAGGTTTTATTTACTGCAGTGTCTATTAATTGTCCAAACGCACGGCCACTTTCCCACTCTATATTGATATAGAATCTTCACAAATACCTTACTCTACATCATTCCCAAACATTCTATGAATTTATGAAAATGTGAAAATGACCATATCTAGGCACTCGCTTGTCAGAAAAAAAAGGTGACATATTCTTCCTTGGGGTTTATATGAACAGATTTTTATTAAGATTTCATGTTGCTAAAACGCTCTCAGTTCCACTTTAACGATATTGGAGTGACAAGCTGAGGTGGAGCTACAGAATCAGAGTGGATCTGTCTTTCTATAGCCTGAATGGAGCCATTCGTATTTGTGCCTGTTACAAGACAAATAAAATCTAATTTTGGACACATTTGTATTCTAGACTTTTGCTCTAGGCAAATGTTTATGCCACACTTTTGGTCTAGTATTCCCACCACTCTCACCACTCAGAGAGGGGAGAGGGTCTAGAGACGGGACAGTCTGGGCTCCAGAGACCACTGCAGACACTGTAACCACCAATCCCACAACCACAGCAGCTACCACAGGCATATGTACAGTCGTGGTCAAAAGTTTTGAGAATGACACAAGTATTGGTCTTCACAAAGTTTGCTGCTTCAGTGTTTGTAGATATTTTTGTTACTATGGTATACTGAAGTATAATTACAAGCATTCCATAAGTGTCAAAGGCTTTTATTGACAATTGCATTAAGTTTATGCAAAGAGTCAATATTTGCAGTGTTGACCCTTCTTTTTCAAGACCTCTGCAATCCGCCCTGGCATGCTGTCAATGAATTTCTGGGCCACATCCTGACATCTTGCATAATCAATGCTTGGAGTTTGTCAGAATTTGTGGGTTTTTGTTTGTCCATCCACCTCTTGAGGATTGACCACAAGTTCTCAATGGGATTAAGGTCTGGGGAGTTTCCTGGCCATGGACCCAAAATTTAGATGTTTTGTTCCCCGAGCCACTTAGTTATCACTTTTGCCTTATGGCAAGGTGCTCCATCATGCTGGAAAAGGCATTGTTCGTCACCAAACTGTTCCTGGATGGTTGGGAAAAGTTGCTCTCTGAGGATGTGTTGGTACCATTCTTTATTCATGGCTGTGTTCTTTGGCAAAATTGTGAGTGAGCCCACTCCCTTGGTTGAGAAGAAACTCCACACATGAATGGTCTCAGGATGCTTTAATGTTGGCATGACACAGGACTGATGGTAGCGCTCACCTTGTCTTCTCCGGACATGTTTTTTTCCGGATGCCCCAAACAATTGGAAAGGGGATTCATCAGAAAAAATGACTTTACCCCAGTCCTCAGCAGTCCAATCCCTGTACATTTTGCAGAATATCAGTCTGTCCCTGATGTTTTTCCTGAAGATAAGTGGCTTCCTCGCTGCCCTTCTTGACACTAGGCCATCCTCCAAAAGTCTTTGCCTCACTGTGCGTGCAGATGCACTCACACCTGCCTGTTGCCATTCCTGAGCAAGCTCTGCACTGGTGGTGCCCCGATCCCGCAGCTGAATCAACTTTAGGAGATGGTCCTGGCGCTTGCTGGACTTTCTTGGGCGCCCTGAAGCCTTCTTTACAACAATTGAACCTCTCTCCTTGAAGTTCTTGATGATCCGATAAATCGTTGATTTAGGTGCAATCTTACTAGCAGCAATATCCCTTTCCTGTGAAGCCCTTTTTGTGCAAAGCAATGATGACAGCACGTGTTTCCTTGCAGGTAACCATGGTTAACAGAGGAAGAACAATGATTTCAAGCACCACCATCCTTTTATAGCTTCCAGTCTGTTATTCTAACTCAATTAGCATGACAGAGTGATCTCCAGCCTTGTCCTCGTCAACACTCTCACCTGTGTTAATGAGAGAATCACTGACATGATGTCAGCTGGTCCTTTTGTGGCAGGGCTGAAATGCAGTGCAAATGTTTGTTTGGGATTAAGTACCTTTTCATGGCAAAGAGGGACTTTGCAATTAATTGCAATTCATCTGATCACTCTTCATAACATTCTGGAGTATATGCAAATTGCCATCATAAAAACGGAGGCAGCAGACTTTGTGAAAATTAATATTAATTTTCATTCTCAAAACGTTTTAACACGACTGTATACAGTTTGTGAACAGTGCAAGGTAAAATTCAGTGTTATATTGATGCGAGATGTGAATATCAGTGACAAAAAGTTTTGCCGTGGTATTGTGATACTACTCGGTATCATGACACTCTGGCTTGGCATTGTTTTGTGGGTAATAGTTTGGCATCATGACAACCCTAATAAAGTATGTAATTTCAAATCAAATCAAATTGTATTTGTCACATGCGCCGAATACAACAACAGATGTAGACCTTACCGTGAAATGCTTACTTACAAGCCCTTAACCAACAATGCAGTTCAAGAAATAGAGTTAAGAAAATATTTACTAAATAAACAAAAGTAAAAAATAAAATAAAATAAAAAGGAACACAATAAAATAATGAGGCTATTTACAGGGGTTACCGGTACCGAGTCAATTTGCGGGGGTACAGGTTAGTCGAGGTAATTTGTACATATAGGTAGAGGTAAAGTGACTATGCACAGATAATAAACAGCGAGTAGCAGCAGGAGGGGGGTCAATGTAAATAGTCTGGGTGGCCATTTGATTTAATTGTTCAGCAGTCTTATGGCTTGGGGGTAGAAGCTGATAAGGAGCCTTTTGGACCTAGACTTGGTGCTCTGGTACCGCTTGCCGTGCGGTAGCAGAGAGAACAGTCTATGACTTGGGTGACTGGAGTCTTTGACAATTTTTTGGGCCTTCCTCTGACACCGCATAGTATATACTGTAGGTCCTGGATGGCATGAAGCTTGGCCCCAGTGATGTACTGGGCCGTATGCATTACCTTCTGTAGCGAGCAGTTGCCATGCCAGGCGCTGATGCAACTGGTCAGTGTACTCTCAATGGTGCAGCTGTAGAACTTTTTGAGGATCTGGGAACCCATGCCAAATCTTTTCAGTCTCCTGAGGGGGAAAAGGATTTGTCGTGCCCTCTTCACGACTGTTTTGGTGTGTTTGGACCATTACAGTTTGTTGGTGATGTGGACACCAAGGAAATTGAAACTCTCGACCCGCTCCACTACAGCCCCGTCGATGTGAATGGGGGCGTGTTCGGCCCTCCTTTTCGTGTAGTCCATGATCAGCTACTTTGTCTTGCGCACGTTGAGGGAGAGGTTGTTGTCCTGCCACCGCACGGCCAGGTCTCTGACCTCCTCCCTATAGGCTGTCTCATCGTTGTCGGTGATCAGGCCTACCACTGTTTCGTCAGCAAATGTAATGATGGTGTTGGAGTCATGCTTGGCCATGCAGTCGTGGGTGAACGGGGAGTACAGGAGGGGACTAAGCACGCACTCCTGAGGGGCCCCCGTGTTGAGGATCAGCGTGGCAGATGTGTTGTTACCTACCCTTATCACCTGGGGGCGGCCCGTCAGGATGTCCAGGATCCAGTTGCAGAGGGAGGTGTTTAGTCCCAGGGTCCTTAGCTTAGTGATGAGCTTTGAGGGCACTATGGTGTTGAACGCTGAGCTGTAGTCAATGAATAGCATTCTCACACTGGTGTTCCTTTTGTCGAGATGGGAAAGGGCAGTGTGGAGTGCGATAGAGATTGCATCATCTGTGGATCTGTTGGTGCGGTATGCAAATTGGAGTGGGTCTAGGGTTTCTGGGATAATGGTGTTGATGTGAGCCATGACCAGACTTTCAAAGCACTTCATGGCTACATACGTGTGTGCTACGTGTCGGTAGTCATTTAGGCAGGTTACCTTGGTGTTCTTGGGCACAGGGACTATGGTGGTCTGCTTGAAACATGTTGGTATTACAGACTCGGTCAGGGACAGGTTGAAAATGTCAGTGAAGACACTTGCCAGTTGGTCAGTGCACGCGTAGAGTACACATCCTGGTAATCCGTCTGGCCCTGCGGCCTTGTGAATGTTGACCTGTTTAAAGGTCTTACTCACATTGGCAATGGAGAGCGTGATCACACAGTCGTCCGGAACAGCTGGTGCTCTCATGCATGTTTCAGTGTTGCTTGTCACTGGGCAGCTCGCGGCTGTGCTTCCCTTTGTAGTCCG